CTCGGATTTCAGCAAATGCTGAAAGCCCAGGGCCTCTGAGTTAGTTAGGCCCTGGGCACTCGAACGTGAGGCCGACAATGCATGCTGGGTAGAGAGGCCGAAAATGCCAAAGGGAAATCGGCCCACTATCTGAATCTGGCCACAGGCCTTGATGAAAGAGGCGCAACTGCATTGCCTCGGGGCCCAACTGTATCGAGTTGGCTTCAGCCTCTGGGTCCCGGTCACAGGCTGAAGGGAGGCCGCCCCCACGCTGCATTGGCATATAGGCAAGCAGGGAGAGGGAGCAGGGATCTTGGCCATTGCGGGCAATGCCGGCACGCTGCGCAAATGCGAGCTGCTAGTGCAAGGCAGGCATGCGCTAGGCGGTAGGGCGCTGCCTGTGCACTGGGCGCTTGGCGGCCATAGCCGGGCTGCAGAGGGTGCAGAGGGGTGAAGGGCGAAGGTGGTTCTTCGGAGGTGAAGGGCGCTGTGTGGGTAACAAGGGAGAGTGGGGAAGAGGACACGTACCTGGTGAAGGTGGAGGTCGGCATTGATGTTGACATCATCACTCGCTGGTAGTCAAGTTGTCTGGTTGCTGTTCATTGCTGTAGTTGTAGGATAGACTGTAGAGTAGATAGGGCGCCTGGCRCCATTCACAAGAGAGAGCTACATTTGGGTTATGCTGCCAGGTAACCTGTGAAGTTGGCGCTGTGCTGCAGGTACCTCGAAGACAGAGCTGGAGCTATGGCGCTGCAGGTAAGTCTCCCTGGCCTCCGCCCAATCTCTCTCTCTCTCTCCAGTACTACTCTAGCTCCCACTAGCGCCCAGCGCTGAAGACTACTGCTAGCACTACTAGCGCCCAGCGCTGAAGACTACTGCTAGCGCTACTACTACTCCTGCAGCGCTGCTCCAGAGTGCTGCTGCCGAATCCTGAAGACTACCTCCTGCCTCCTGAACTGCACGTGAAGTGCCTGGGAAGTACCTAGGAACTGCCTGCAGCCTGCAGGGCGGGCCAGTCCTATATAGTGCTGGCCCATCCAGGAGGCTGCTCTTGCCAATGGCGAAACGTGCCAGACCCTGGCGTTGAAACTCAACCAGGGGTTGTCTTGAAAACAGGCCCAGAATGGCCTGTGCTAAAACCCTGGTTTGGTGCCTGAGTTTCAGGGCAGGTCGAACTCGTGAGGGCCTGAAAATGGCCCTCAGTTTCAGGCTGAAAAGACTCAGGGCCGGAAAGGCCCTGATTTAGGCTGAAACGACACAGGGCCTGTAGGCCCTCGTTTTCAGGCTTTCAGTCTGAAACGACACGGGGCCTGTAGGCCCTTGTTTTCAGGCTTTTGGCCTGAAAACGTCACGGGCCTGAAAGTGCCCCGTGCAGCCTGTTGCAGGCGCAGCATGTAACACTGAGGAGCGGGGCTACCCTGCTGGTCGGGAAGCTTACTAGCAGCACCCAGTCACACAGCAGGGCAGCCTCCCGGATGACAGGACGCGAGGGGGGGTCCCCTAGCAGCTCCTCAGGCCGCATAACACCTTTGTTTGCCTGTCACTGTCTTATGCAGCATCTTGTCCAACACCCTATTACCCTTTCTTCTACCTGAGCCTTATATATGCACCCCATTTATACCTATTCCGGGCCTTATGCTGTCCTGATATCCTTTTGTCCTTGGTTTCCAGCCCTACCCGTTAAACCCCCCATTTTTCCGGGCAACACCTTTGTATTTACTTAGGGACAGATCCCACTAGCAAAGAGGATTGGAATGAGTGTCTGAATCTGGACGTGTTTGTGGCGAGGTGCAGAAAACTGTGATTGATCTGCTTTTCTGCATCTCTGCGTGGAACACGTCCAGATTCATAAACTTATTCCAATAATCCAGTTGTCCTTGCCAGTGGGATCTGGCCCTTAAGTCTTACTCCACAATTAGTAATTACTCTCATCCTTTCTCACATTACCATCCCTATCGCCCCATATACCCCCATAGGTTCATTTAGCCACTTACTTCCACTTCAACTTATTCGTCTGTGTAGATAGTTCTAGGCCCTACGGGTTGTTTTTTTTACTTCCCCCTTTTTCCTGCTTTCCTGTCTAGATTCAATGAGGCTGTGGGTAGAGTCCATGGACCTGTCGCACTGAGTCTTTTCCCTTGTGTAGATAGTAGTTCTAGACCCTAGGGGTTGTCTCCCCCGCCCCGGCCCCCCCTTTTTCCTGATTTCCAGTCTAGATTCAATGAGCCCGTAGGTAGAGTCGATGAGTCTGTTTACAGCAAGGAGGGCTGCGCTTGTATGAGTCGCGCTTTGTCGTTTAGCGGACGTTGCCATTTAGGGAAAAGTTGTGAGGGACAATAACCGGGCGCGGGGTTGATTTCGGGGTGCCGGAAAATGCAAGGGATGGGCGTGGGCGCATTACGATTGAGACCGGTCGTTTGAAAACGAGTGCTGGCTTGGGGCGGGCAGGGCCCGTTGTGGAGGGCGCCGTCTGGGGTCTCCCGTTTGGGAAACGGGTCGAGGTTGTAGAGGTCTGGCGGGCGCTGTGGGGGGCAGCGGCGAGTTTCGGGAGAAAGCGCGGTCTCTGTTGGTCTTCTTACTAGCGTGTATGTGCCCATTGAACGTTGAGATATACAGCCGCCGTCTTTTCTTCTTTTTGACAGCTTTGAGATCCAGATACACGTTAAAACTGGCCAAAAAAATTCGATGTATCGGGAACAATATCTCAGCCGCCGTCTTTTCTTCTTTTTGACTGCCTTGAGATCCAGATACACGTTAAAACTGGCCAAAAAAATTCAGTGTATCGGGGCCAATTGGTTGACGTAAGCGCGTGCAAAAAAAAGAGCGAATGAACGAACGGGGAAAAAATAACCGAAAACAGAAAAAAGAAACGAACCAACAGGTAAAATGTGGGAAAAAGAAAAGGAAATGAAGCGGGGACAAGAAAAGGGGTGTCATCCAGCGGCCTAGCTCAGTTGGTTAGGCAGGCAAGTGACATTCAGGAGGTTGTGGGTTCGAACCCCATGACCGCCTGCGGCGCACCTAGTGCCAACGGACTGTGATAGTCCTCTGGATACCCCTGATCGGCATTAGCGGGGTCTGTGACCAACACGGTATGAGTGTGAGCATGAGTGTGTTGTGGGTGTGGTGTGTGGGAGAGTGTTGGCCATAGCCTCTGCCGCTACTCGATGAGGGGTGGGGGACGATGAGAAAGGCAGGCACAGCTA